CGACTGGCTGGCTTGTCACTTAAAGTGAGTTTTGAAGCTACCGAACTGCCAATTTCATGATCGAAAATCTGTGTGTTTTTTGAAGTGGTTAGTGTAGATATAATCCCGAAAATAAAGTTAGTTTAAAGTCCCCACCTAAAAAAACTAAACGCCTTCCAGAAGACTAACAAATACGATAGTCTATCCTAAAGTGGGAATATCAAAGGTTAAATTTGAATAAAAATTCATTTTATCCTACAGAGCGGGAAGAAGAGGGCAATTCATGGGACCTATACAAAGTTTATTTTATCCTACAGAGCGGGAAGAAGAGGGCAATTCATGGGACCTATACAAAGTTTATTAAAATTTCGTGACCAAGTTTTGCTACTGTTTTTATATATTCTTATCTAGAACTGTAGTATTTTCACCGGCATATTAGCTGTATAGCTTTAAAGCTACTCAACATCATATATCCATGTTCAATATAAACAGAGTACCTTCATGCTGTTGAGCTTAAAATGTTCAGAGAGAGATGTAACTTAATTTCAGTAAAACGGGACTTGAGTATTTCATATTCTTGCAGGAGTATGATGCCGAGGGTCGTGCACCGCTTCACACAGCTGTGGCGTATCACCAGACCGATACCGTCAGATATTTAATAACTCCGAAGACGGTGAACAAGTCATTTGAAGGAAATGATGAAATGGATATGCTTGAAGCAAGTGGTGCTGGCGTTGATCCCGCTCAACCAACGGGTTATGGTACGACAGCACTGGAGGAAGCAAAAGAAAGAGGCTTCAATGATATCGTAATATTGTTGGAAAATGCCCTTAAGAACAATTAATTAATAATCGAAAACTTAGTGTAGATACGGAATGTGATTTTTCGGGACCTTTTGGGAATGTATTTTGGCTATCGTGTTCTGAAATTTTGCTTTATTTATTTTCGAAATTTATTGGTGTAGGAAGAGGGGAGGGGACTATAAGCCAGTTTGTATTGCTGAATTTGAAAGATATTTGTTAACTAAAAGTTTGTGGTCTGAAATTAATCTACCCCCATCAGCACCACTAATAAAATATCAAGTAAAGTAGGTTGTGCAGAGGTGGGTAGAGGAACTAGTACCACCATGATCAAAAAGTGAGCAAGGGGATTGGTCCTTTCACCAAAGTAACAACATTTTTTAAATTAGTTTTATTGGTTTGAACTAGTCAATGAAAGAATTGTGTGCATAAAGATGTAGGTGTGGTAACGTTTAATTTCGTATAATTAAAGAAATGCAGATTTACTCATATTTAAATGGGAGTTGAAAAAAGAATTGAGCAAATTTTAGAGCAATTGTAGTTTATAATGTTACGAGAAATCTTCAGATGTCAGTACGGTCGGGTGAAATCATACAAATAAAACATCAAAAAAGATTGTGTGATATATAATTTAGTACTATATATGTTATAATGTGTATCAGCTGCTGAGAAAGAAAAACAAAATAGTAGTCCTATAATGGATTCATGGTCACTGTGGCATTAAATGCAATGAGCTTGCTGACACACTTGCTAAGAAGGGGACAATGATTTTGCAATGCATGGACCGGCCGATGTCTTTCCACACAATGAAGGCCTTCATCAGGAGAGAAATCAAGACCTCAAGGTGCAACCGAACTTATCTCGAACAAAGGAGAAATAGTGGACAGTGGCACTCTTCGACAAAAGCGACTGGCCAAGAATCGAAGCCGTTGCTGAGTTTAGACGAGTGGCACTCTACCACATAGCCGAATGGCCAAGAATCGAAGCCGTTGCTGAGTTTAGACTTTGGCCAAGAATCGAAGCCGTTGCTGAGTTTAGACTACGTACCGGACTTGAGTGCCTGGCAAATCACCTTCACAGGTTGGGAGTATACACTCAACCCATATGCCCTTCTGTAACCTACAGGAGGAAATGGAGAAGACCCACCTGATTCGGTATCCAGCCCTAAAGACAACGACGGAAAGCCAGAGACACTGGGAAGCCAGAAGACAGCTAATGAACTACTATATATGTACCCCCACCCATTGGGAAAGCTGAAGTCAAAGTTTAAGGGCGAATGATAAATATCGTAAAGCCTGCCCTTTGAAATAATAATAATGATGATGTTATGATGACTTAGGTTGTGCGATAGACTTACCTCCACGTGGTGCACCCTGGGCAACGTATATTCATACGGCAAAAAGTCTATTAACTGGCAGTTGACTTTTCACTTCAAACGATCATCACCTCACTCTCTGCCATATTCGACTATATATTCACAGTACTCACCTCATTTTTTTTCCACTCTTGTTTTTGTCTCTTACATCTTTGAAACACTCTTCTGTTCCCCCCTCCTTCTCGACTTTTTTCAATTTGATGTTCCTTTCCTCTGTAAAGTCTGGAGTCAACTAAAGGGCTAATGATAACCTTCAAGACTCCTGCTATTTGATATAAATAAATGTTATAATGACTTTTGTAAATAATTGATAGCTTGAGTAAATATTGATGAAAATAAAATTGAAATAAATACATTTTATCTTATGTGTTATATTAGTAAAATATTTCTTAATATAATGCGCATTTAATTGCTAGGATATTTGTTAATATAGTTCAATTTAAATCCGAAAATATTGGCCAAACGCATCTTTTCAAATCGGAGCTTGTTTCCTGTATCATGAATTAGTATTCTATGCGTTTAGCCACTCTTTCTACTTCAATAAATAATCGTAAATTATCAATAGTTCTTTGGCATAAGATGTCTGAAAGTTTGGGTTTGTTTGGGATTGCCGACCTAATGCTTAATTATCTCGATCTTCCAATGGTTTCGGATATTTACAACATGAAAGCAGATTAATATTACGACACTGCTAAATCACTTAAAAAAGGAAAACCCTTTTGTCAGAAAATCTTCAAGAGATTTAAAACTACCAGTAAGACAGTTTGGTGAAATTAAGGCAGACACGACAACACCAAATAATGTGCTTTCTGAACCATTCAGACCTTGCGAACTTAATGCTGCGATAAAACAGCTCAAGTGCAAAAAATCTCCTGGTGAAGACGGTATTCAGCCGGAATTTTTAATTGGAATGGGACCAAAAGCCAAGGAAACCATGTCAACTATCCTGGAGATCAATGGCACTATGCCAATTATGTTGCCTGGATATGAAATTCACCAAAGTGGTGATACTTTCGGACTCACAGTCAGCAATAAACTCTATTGGAAACAGAGAGCCAACCAAAACAGCTGAGATTAAGGAACGTAGAAAACTCTATCATCTGCTGAAAGAGAAAAACAAAACAGTGGTCCAACAATGGATTCCTGGTCACTGTAGCATTAAAGGTAATGTGCTTGCTGACACATTTGCTTGGAAGGGGACAACGATTTTGCAATACATGGACCGGCCGATGTCTTTCCACACAATGAAGGCCTTAATCGGAAGAGAATTCCAGACCTCAAGGTGCAACGAACTTAAAGCTCGAACAAAGGAGAAACAGTGGACAGTGGCACTCTCCGATATAGCCGACTGGCCAAGAATCGAAGCCGTTGCTGAGTTTAGACTACTTAGCGGTCACGATTGCTTGACAAAACATCTTCACAGATTGGGTTTATACACTCGACCCACATGCCCTCTATGTAATCTACATGAGGAAATGGAAAAGACCCACCTGATTTGATGTCCAGCTCTAAAGACATCGACGGAAAGCCAGAGACACTGGGAAGCAAGAAGACAGCTAATGAACTGCTATTAATTAACTGCTATAAATGTACCCCCCCCCCACCCTTGGGGGAAGCTGAAGTGAAAGTTTAAGGGCTAATGATAAATATCACAAAGCCTGCCCTTTAAAATGAATGAATTAATTAATATATATAACGATGAAGCTCCCTGTCTGTACGCACACCACACATCTCAAATAAACGTGGTTCACGTGATACGTCTGTTTGCCCTAGAGTTTTGCGTAGCTTAGCTAGCTCTGGGAGTCTATCCAAACATAGGAGAATCTGCCATGGAGATTTCTGAGTACATTCAAAGCTTATTAGTGTAGCAATCCGCAAAAAGGTTTAAATGCTTTAGATTTTATTATTTCTTTACTAGATTTTGTGCTATATTTGATTTAGAAATGTATTTGTTATCAAATATGCACGAGNCCACACAATGAAGGCCTTAATCAGAAAAGCATTCAAGACCTCAAGGTGCAACGAACT